AGATTCGCCTGTTAATTCAAGCCAAAATATTGCGATTCATACATTGTATTCTGAAAGAACAAAATGTTTCAGACAAAATATCCACATTTTAATATTTTAATATTTTACTGCACCTTGTATAAACAAATGTCACATTTCTCCATGATGCTATTCAAAGTAGATTTAGACTCTGCTTTTCTCCTTGTAAACAGATGTCAAAAACACTATTTTTATTTGTGCACTGTAAAAGGTCAAAACTGAGAAAAAAACATTTGCATTGTCAAACGTTACTGTATCATTGAGGACAAGGTCTAACTACTTTCTAACATTAGAGGTGTAAGTTTATTATTACTGACATTGTCCTTAAGAGCCGCTAACCTCTTAGTTTTATCTGACATCTCATGTTGAATGTTTGTAGTGTTCTGCCATGAGTATTTTCCACTTTCAGACATTTAATTTGTCTGCATTGCTAATATTTCACACCTAAGACTATAAATTCAATGATACTACACTATAATTAACTAAGCTAACCTAGGGACTATTTCTAGCTAATGCAACAGCACTAAAGCTTGAGGCTCCTAAGGACATCATACGTAAAAGAGCACATTACCTGGTCATGCCAAATCTAATTATGTTTCAAGTTACAAAATTTGCCTTTACCTTAAAATATTATCTAAATGTCATTATTTGTTCATTTTAATGTATATGTAATTGAAAGGAAATTCATTAGATATCATGCACGTAGCTGCAGACTAATATTTTACCTAAAGGGCCCATATCATGAAACACTGAGGGGGGGGGCTCACTGGGGGAGGGGGCACACTGGGGGGGGGGTGCTCATTGAGGGGACTATAAGTTCTAATTTATATATAAATGACAAGTAAAGATCATTAAAGCTGCTTAATAATGCTGCACATGCATGTAATTTTTTTTTTTTGTAATTTTACATGCAGTGAACCATTTTTCCTATGGCAGTTTAGACCTGCCCATTCAGGCGAAAGCAGTTTGGCCCCACATACTCTCGTTGAAGTTATGTGGAGTGTTATTCCTGCACATAGTCTGTAGCTGAGTTTTTGGAGAGAAAGTTGTGGGAAAACTATTAAATGTTGTGCTGATCCTGGCTGTTTGAAAGCAAAATGATCACTGCAGCCTTCCAAAAGATCCACACAGCTGAAAGGAGCAGCTGAAGTTTATTATTTTCTCATGCTCAACATTTTATTAAGGAATGCTTTCTGATATGGGCACAATATAGAACAGGAAATTAAAACAGAGTTTGTTTATATATATCAGACTTGAAGGCCCTACTTATTCTTTATATATATATATATATATATATTTTTTTTTAGCCGTCCTGTGTGTCATCTTGAGTGTTGTTTCTAAATAAAATCCATCATTGGAGCATCTTTTTATTATTTATTTATTTTATGCAGGTATTTGCTAAAAAAGCTAAAAATAGTTAAAATGCCTGCCTCAAAACAGGTGTCCTTCTCGATCTAGGCCACTGGTCCGGATCTGTAATGGTGGTTGGAAGCGGCGTGGTTTTACCCCTGAGGCGATTGATTTTCTACAGGATGGAGTGTGTTTGGAGCACACACACACACACTCTCAGGAGGATCACTTTAGCCTGCTGTGGGGTTTGGATCATTCCTCAGGCCCCATGTAGACTTCAGAGTTAAGATGAAGTCAAGCGTGATGCTCACTGGAAGTAGCGCTCAATACCGGTGCTAACATGGTGGGATATGGAGGGGGCCGTGAAAAACTAAAAATTTTCACTGCTTTCAAGCTTCATAGTAAAGGAACAGCTTGGCTCAAAATAAAATGTACACAGCCCCACCCCCACCCCCACCCCCACCCCGTCTCAAACGAAATCAATCAGCCAAGACATGTCGGGTGTCCAAAGTTTGGTTCTTCAGTTTTGCACTGGAGCTATGAGGCTAATGCAGCTAACAAGTAATAGAAGCAGCACCAATTAGCACTGTGCTAACTGCATGTCTAAATCATCACACACTTGCTTTACTAGTTTATATGGTTTCTGACACTGTATGACAGACTTACCTATAACAATGGACAAAATTTCTATGCAATGTACTCTTTTTCATGTTTATAGATTGTGTTCATGTTTAACAGCATCTCATACTGTATCAGAAACACATATGCAAGTCTATTTGAGATTAGTTGACAACTCAAGCAGTTTAAAGTGTGTGATGATTTAGGCGTTATTCTGGTGAGATATGAGGGTCTTAGTAAATACTCTGATGGTTAATTGCAAAAGCTTTGCAGAAGCTTAAATTGTTATTACATTACATTTAAATTTATCTGTCACTGAATTACAATTAACTAAATATCTGCGGTCATCTGTGGGACCAAACATACGTGTATGTGGAATTATAGACAATGACACTATAAATGACAATGATACTGAATATATAATGGTGAAATTAGTAGCAGGTTAAATGGCGTTCCATTTGTTTGCTTATAGGTTACACTAGTTAGGTTTCCGTTGACATTTTAATTTACGTGGAATAAAAATGCATAAAAGTTTGTATGCTGGCTTGAGGTGGATATGTTTCCTGCTGATCAAAAGAAATGCAATAGATTACTATGGAAACATATTTGCAGAATAAAAAAATACGTAAACGTGATACGACTGATCAGGTATTTCTGTTTTAGTGGCCAAAGCTAGGAAACCTGACAGACGTCAGCAGGTACCAGAGGACTGTTGAAGGAATAAAAACACACCTTTAACATATTGAATAAAAAAAATAATAAATTAATGAATGAATTAACTAAAAACTGCGGTGATCTTAGGGAGGATAAACAGACAGAAGGTGCTGCAGCTGGTTAATGGATATTTGTCACTATGTTGGTCAGTGTGTTCTGTTTTGTTAAGAGTGACAGAGTGTTTTATTGTTTTAATTCTCTTTATTCTCAAAGCTAATGGTAATTTAATGGTTTTGTTTGGGACGATTCAGTGATTTGTTTGAATTTAACTCGACAGCTGGATGTGTTTTTTGTTAACAAGTCACAACTTGTTAAATTTCGCTCAACTAAATATCTATTATCATCATCACTTTAAGCTTTCTCTAAACACAGCACTCACTTTAATCCTAATAGCAATCATTACTCAGACAAAAGCTATGTTCAACCATAACCCTGGTTAAAACCTGAACAGTCAAACTACTGATTATCAACTATGAATAAAGTGTCAAATAAAGTGGAATCAAACTTTCATGCCATTCAAACTTTACAGTAGCTCTCCTTGTAACCTCGTGTAATGCGGTCAGGATTATAGAGATTATAATACGAATAAGATAATATACACTGTAACAGGCTTAAGTTTGGCATTTTTATAAGTAGTATTATACTAAAAACAATAATGTTTCAACTTTATTAAATTACTAACCTGACTGACTTAAAACTTGGAGTTGAATGAATTTCAAATAATAAGTTAACAGAACGGAAAAAAACATTTTAGTGTTCTGTTAATTTACCATTGGAAGTTCACTGAACTTACATTTTAAGGCAACCAGGTTACTACCTTTTTAAAGTTAAAACAGTAAATCATATTTTACAGTGTATGACGATTGCCCTTTGGTTTTGCTTCTAGATTTTCACCTTTCCAGCCTACCTGTGACATTTTCAGTTACCCGAAATGCATCAGACTTCAGTAAGATTGATTATTTTAATCGTTTTAATGTTTATTATTGCACTTAATCATTCAATCAGATGTTTTGTTCTGAACATAAGCTATGGTCATCCTTTTCCAGGCCAAAATCTCTCTCTCCCTCTCTCTCTCTCTCTCTCTCTCTCTCCCTCTCTCTCTCTCTCTCTCTCTCTCTCTCTCTATCTGAGTCAATGCCAGTGAATCCTCTCTCAGTAAACTGGGCCACTTGACTCTCTCATTTGAATAAAATTCAAATTTGCGACGCAGAGCACCAAACCGGCATCCAGAAATAGAGAGGCAGTGTGTGTGCGGCCCATGAGTGGGGATTCGTGCAGAGCATTGCAAAGAGCAAGCAAACACGCACACATACACGCGCTGAATTCTGTGCATCCCTACCCACCTTGATATCTTACTGAAAGACTGACTGATTCACAGCGAGAATCTCTGAGTGTCTGAGTGTGTTAGTGAATGTGCGTGTATGTATTACGTATAAAGTACTGTGCAAAAACCACAGACCACCTTTTATATATTTTTTAGTCATAAAGTACACATTATTCATTTTTTGAGTCAGGAAAAATGTGGAAAACACATATTTTAATGAAAAATTATGCCTCAATAGCTAAATCAGTATACAGTGAGTGCTCTCTTTACTTTTATTACAGTTTCTATTCTTTTTAGAGACTTGCTTTCAGTTTTTCAAAGAAAAGGGATATTGTCCACACCTCCAAAGTTAAACGTTCAGTCTTCAGGTCTGGACTCAGAGGTGGTCAGTTCATTGTTCTGAGAACAGCAGCAGCTTCTTTGTTTGGTTTGTCTGTTTCCTTTTCTCAGTAAGAGCTTCTTGACAGCTACACATCCTTTAAGACTCAAAGCATTGAGTGTCTTCTGACAGATGTTTTCAGATCTGAATCAAGAGTGGAGCTTGATTTTCTCCTCTCTCTCAAAGATGAAACCTTTAAGTGCTGCTTGTCTAAAGGGTCAGTTTTGGTGTCTACCAGGTCTTGCACGGTTGTTAGGAGTCCCATTTTCTGTGGAGCTTTTATTTATTTTTTTGAACTCCAGTTTGGATGCTCCTGTTTTTTTGTTTTTTTGTTTTTTTTGTTGTTGTTTTTTATTCTTTAATCTCCTTTCTTACGTAAGTGGAATATCTTATATCTAATCTCCTCAGAAAACAAGTAACTTGTCCTTAATGGTTGTTCTGACTAGAAATTTAAGAAGGAAATGTCCGTTTCTGACTTCTGCACAATACTGTGTGTGTGTGTGTGTTTGTGAGTGTGTGTGTGTTTTCCCATTTGAGAAGGGCTGTGTACATCACATTTACAGCCAAGTAACAATTAAAACCAAAGCCAATTCTTACCTTTCCCGATGCTCTTGGTCACATCTGCAAGCATACAGAGAGAGAGAGGGAGAGAGAGAGAAACATCAGCAAATTGCAGTTGAGTGTACAGTGGTGATGATGGTGGGTGTGTGAAGGATGGCAATGTGTGTGATACCTCAGAGAGGAGTGTGTGAGGTACAGATTAGTTCCTGTTTCTCTCTCACACGCACACACACATACACACATGCACAGACACACACACACACACACACACATTCATTTATTACACATACCAACATGAAAGAGCGTGTGAGCCCCTCCAGCAGATGAAGTTTGCAGGAGTTACATTAATATTAGTCAGTTCATCTCACAATTAGTGGGAAGAGAGAGAGAGATAGAGAGAGAGAGAGAGAGAGAGAAAGAAAGAGAGAGAGAGAAAGAGAGAGAGAAGAGAGAGCGAGAGAGAGAGACAGAAGGAGATAGATAGAGAGAGAGAGAGAGAGAGAGAGAGGGATAGAAAGAGAGAGAGAGAGAAATAGAGAGAGGGAGAGGGATAGAGAGAGAGCATGTGAAGGGTTTATAGTAATTCTGTCCTTGGAGAACAGAAGCAGGTGATTTACTGCATAAATAGACTCCAGTGATGTTTTTTGTTTACATACAGTGGCGAAAGAGCAATGACCATAACGCTAAAGACAACAAAGATCAACCTTACACAATTTTCTTCTTCATCCTGTGGTCAGCCAAGACATGCTTGATGGACAAAAGTATGCACCAGCTTGTACTGAGCGACGGTATTGTATGTTTGCACACGTATGTAGATAATAGTGTCTAATACAGTAAGCAAATGTATTCGACATTACTTAACAACACCACATGATTTGAGGTAAGAGTGTGGTGATAAAGGCATGCAGTTAGCTCCAGGCTGGTGGGTATAAACATTTATTACTTGTTAGCTACATTAGCATCGTAGCTCCAGTGTAAAACTAAAGAAGCAAACTTCACACCAAACATGTCTTGGCTAAATATACTTGGGTTAAGGACAAAACTGCATAAATACGACGTTTCTTCAAACTTTCGTCATTGATTTGCTGTTGCTATGCATGAAGAAACACTGCGGTGCTTTATTCTTGCCGAAAGTGTTTCTGCCCTTGCGTGGCTCTGCTCGCCAGTAAGAAGGACAGATATATGCTAGATTATGCCAGTTTCCCTCTTCACTTTTCAATTCCTTGTTTTAAGACTTCCATGGGGACCCCTAAAGCTTCTGATCCGCTTAAAGAAAGGAGAGGAGAAAAAATAAGAGTTTGTTCTCTTCCACCCATCCCCCCGTTCTTTCTTTTCTCCTTGACGCCAGTGGTCCCAGCTGTCAGCTTTAGCAGTGTAATTCTCTTAGCTGTAACCTCACATCCAACAGCTCGCACACTCAATCTCTGCGTAAAGGAAACCGTCCATTCGCTACTGACAAGGAAAAAACCCACCAAAGCCCACGCCATTCACAGCAGATGGCACGCTAGCGCTGGCATTCAGTTAATAATACAATGTGGCTTATTATATTAGCAGAAATGGACCATAATGAGGCAGTGAAAGCTTAACAGGTTACATTAAAGAATTCAATCACAACAGTTCACAAGGAAAATGATTATTGTTGATTTGCCATACATTTTATTTACATACATGATAATGTAAACAAAATAATGTATGTAACTGCCTAGAGTTTGCACTTCTAACTTTTTTAGTTTGTTTCAGTGTCACAAAAGTGACTAAAACATGGCAAAACATTTAGAATCTACACCTTTCACAGGATCTCTTAGCTTGTTTCGATAGCGTACAAGTTAGAGATAAGTACGCAAAATGTAATAAGAGGCATTTTATGGAGGATAATAAACACTCAGTCCATGAACAACCTCAAGAACATCCCTTTACACTAAAATAGAATATATTAGTCCATAAACAACTTCAATAAAAACCCTTATTCAATAGAACAGGGGATATTAGTCCATGAACAATCTCCATAGACTAGAATAAACACTTCCATAGACTAGAAGAGGCGATATTAGGTCATAAACAATAAAACAAATTCTCCTAATACTTCTATTCAAGTGCATTCCTTCACATTCGAATAGGAGATATGAATCCATAAACAACAAATAAACACCACTGTTCACTGGAAAAGGAGATCTTAGCCCATACACAACCTTTATAAACATTCATTCACACTAAATTAGAATACAGAAACTTTATTTTCTAGTGAATAAGTGTTTATTGAAGTTGTTTATGGATTGATATATTCTATTCTAGTGTGAATGAATGTTTATAAAGGTTGTGTATGGGCTAAGATCTCCTTTTCCAGTGAACAGGGGTGTTTATTGAAGTTGTTTATGGATTCATATCTCCTATATGGATATCAGTCCATAAACAACCTCAATAAACACTCCCACAGACAAGATGAGGAGATATTAGGCCATGAACAACCTTAATAAACTGTCCCATACACTAAAATACATTAGTCTGTACTGGTTGGTATGGTGTGTGTTGGTTGGTGAAGTGTGTATTGGTTGGTATAGTGCACTGGGTAACACATCTGCCTTCTAAGCTGTAGACTGGGGTTCAATCTCCCACCTGGGCAAGCACCTTACACTATACCAATCCTTGGGCAAGACTCCTAACACTACCTTTGCCTATCTGTGTAAAATGATCAAATTGTAAGTCACTCTGGATAAGACTGTCTGCCAAATGCTATAAATGTAAATGTAGAAACAACCTTAATAAGCACTCCTGTATGCTATAAAAGGAGATAACAGTCTATGCACAACCTCAATAAATACTTCTAAACACTTGAATAAGATATATAAGTCCATAAACTCAGTAAATACGCCTATACACTACACGTTTTATGTAATAGTTTCTAGCTGATGAAAGAAATGGTCTACATTGCCAAATCGGGCTTGCTACTTTGTCCAATATCTCTACCTTTACGCAAAAAGCATCTTTCTCACTCAAAGAATTTAGAAGCAGCATTGCTGTAAAGGCAACGTGGAATAGATAGCTGTGAGATTAATACAGAGAAAAACAGGCAGAGATATAGTTGATGACTTACACTTACACACACTGGATTCAAAGGAGCTGAGAAAGTACTTGACTTTGAGTGCAAGACATAGGAACGCAACCAGTTTGTCTACCAGATATTTTTTGTACCAGTATTCTGACTTTACCCATTGTCACTGGATCTTTCCTCTGTATGAACCCAGTGTCTCTGTTAAATCTTCCTTGCAGACTTGTCGTAGCTTTTACTTCTATCTTAGCTGCATGTAGCCCACAGCACCGAGTTCTGATAATGAACACAGGTGTAACCTGTAAGCCTCACAAAATTCTAAGCTGGAAAAATGCAGTAGGAAAGACTCTGGCAGTGGAGATGTTACAATAACTTAATTTATTTTCCAATTCTGATACAGAAAGCTTAAGGAGAGATGGATATGTTTACTCTGTTAACCCTTGTGTGATGTTGATGTGTTTGTTACTCAGTGGTCCGGTGGACCCACCGCATTATTGTTTTAATCAATACAGCCACAGCAATTTATGTAAAAATACCAGATGTTTAAAATATCACACTTGGCCAGCATAGCGTTCTCCTTTAGCAGCTGTAGCCAGTCAGCAGCCTGTCCATGTTGTCCACCCTCACACACACACATATACAAACACATACACTCACAGACACACACACACACACTAACAGCAGGCCATGTAGAAGGAGAACAGAGTGAAGGGACACAGCACAACATCACAGTGTAATATAATACAGTGTTTAGTCATTGAGAATGTGTTATTTTATATGTTCTTCACAGAAAATGAACAAAGGCCAAAGAAGCTGAGGCTAAGATAATAATAATAATAATAATAATAATAATAATAAATCACATCATTTGGGGCCCACAGACATGAACACCACATAAGGGTTAAATGCATCTCAGAACACCTGTTGAAGTGGAGTAATTAAGTCAGATTAGAGTGGATTTATACTTGCATTTTTATGTAGATAATCTCAGTCCTGATACTCAAGACGCATGAAACAACTAGCTTTAAACAGTGCCATCTCTACCTGAAAACTTCTAAAGAATTTCTGTCATTTCTCCTAGACAACAATAGGATCTGACGGAAAGGAGTTCGTTGCTTAAGAACTTAGTAATCTCATTAGTTTCCTCTTGGGGTTTGGTAGAGATCTCAATTAGGTCACACATTATCTTCAAATTTGCCAAGATAGTAATGCTCATGTTTATCTGCAACTAAACTTTCATCTCTCCTTTATCTCATTCGTCCTTATATCTCAAGTCTCCTTTGTGTCTAATGCTCCCATTTCTCCTAAGGAATTTTAGGAGAATCACCATTAAGTTTCCCGAGTCACAAAATTGTTCTCCGAATGTTCTCCGGTCTGTGGTGGCCATGCTAAGGCCGATCACAACGCAGTAGCTGTGTGTGCATGTGCTGCCACGGCTCGCCTCCATCTGGCTCCTCTGCAAGCCGAGTGAACGGATGGATAGACGGACAGGCACAAGGAAAGTGTGTCTGTGGGTGAAAATGAAAGCAGGTTCTGTCTTATTATTGTTCAATTAGCGCAGTGACAGCGAGCATTCCCTGCGCTGGTGTCACACTTTAACCTGATCAACAGAGCGTAAACTCCGGCAGCTGCTTTACTCACCACACTCCATCAGGAGCAGGACGGCCGCCTGGAGCCACTCCAGAGAGAGAGAGAGAGAGAGAGAGAGAGAGAGAGAGAGAGAGAGAGAGAGAGAATAGTAAATAGTAATAGTAAACAAAAGTGTGTGAGAAAAAGATGAGAAAAGAAAGTGTGCGAGAAAACAAGAAGGGAAGAAAAGGCAGAGAAACAAGACAGAAAGGAAGATGAGAAAAGAGAAATGATTTTATAATTTAAAAAAGTTTTATCAATTCGTTCTCTGTGTGTAAATGATTAAGAGCCTTATAAACAATGTCTACTGTTTTTATTTTAGCTTATAAATATATAGTTTGAAGAGATGCAAATAACAGTGTTTTTCTAAACAAATAAATGTTGA